CTGTGACTACGGCCCCTAAGAAGCCCGTCACAAATGTCGCAGCGAAGAAGCCCGTCACAGCTGTCGGTCAAAAGAAAGCTGTACCAGCACCAGCAAAGAAGCCTGTTCAACAGCCACAGCAACAAGGTTGGATCAACAAAGGTCTCAGTGCCGCATCATCAGGCATTGGAAGTGCTGTCGGCGCCGCAACGACCGGTATCGGCAATGCTGCTGGTGCAGTCGTGACAGCGGCAGGCAGTGGTGTTGCTGGAGCAGGGAGAGGCGCGGGCGCAAGGTAATACACCACATCCTGCAATAGTTCCCTTGACTGACATATCATAGTATTGCGAACTCATCTCGCACTTGGGGCGACATGGTCCGCGAGTATGGCAACTCCCTCAAAGATATCACTGGCGCTCCCGGCAGTCGGTCGACCACGAACAAGAATCCTCTCGGCCTGAGCACAAGTGGCGTAGGAGGTATGGCATCCATGGCTAGCAGGCCTGGTGTGCCTGGCCTCTCAGGAGGGTCCGGTAAGGGGGGTGGTTCGGCCAGCAATCCTCTGGGCCTATAAATGGACATTTGGAGCCTAAGAATATACGCCGATTTCGTGAACGGCCAGAATACTACATCCAACTTTCAGTGATCGAATAGGTGGCTCATAGTGTACTATGAGGTCGACATGCAATTTTCAGTGGTTGAACAGGTGGTCCAGAGTGTGATTCAAGTTCTAAACCTCACCAACAGCACCTCGAGGACAATCGGTGATTAGCATCGTATTCTGCAAACACATATGTCAACCTAGACATTTCCGGGGATACCATCTGGGTCAGGGAGGTGCTTCGACAATGTTCGCGGGGAGGGGGATGGAGTCGTCTTTCGCGGAGGCTCAGCACGGTGGGGAGTCTGTATGGTGTGGGAGAATAGACGACGCCAAAAGTAGCTGAGAAGACGTGAATTCTAAATTGCATTCTCAACCGGCTCCAGGAATTGCCCTCTTTTGGTTTCCCTGGCGTTCTATGCGAACACTCAACTTGAACACCCCTTCACCATTCCATCTTTGGCTGGTCATTGCGCGAGACTAGCGCAGGCTGCCGCTGCCCTTAAGATCCCCGCTGTTCTCCCCCCCGACTCCCTCTTCTTCTTTACCAGCTAGCCCGCTTCTCTGCCAACACTTCGGAAGGTCGCAGAACCATCGCAATGGAACAATCGGCTCTTCAGACTGACTTGGTGGATCATGGTGAGCAACACCCTCCCTCACTTCCGCTAAAATCACAGAGATACACCCACGAGATATGGTCATCCGGATGGCCTTATCGCGTCACACCTTCAGACACCGCCTGCACCTTTGGAATGAGTAGGAGGCTGGCTTCGCTACGTTCGGGCTCGCCTTTGGTGGCATCTGCTTGCACCAGCGCGAGCGATGCATGCAACAAAAACAGCCGTACATCAAGATGTCTCGACTATGCATTTGGGCGAGCGGAAGATGGCGCGTATATCGAGCGCGCCGTGACGCCGCTGGTGGGCGCTTCTTCAAGTGCTTCACCGTCGAGTTCTGTCGTGGGCTTCCGATCATACGAATGCCTTCGGGCGCTAGTTATGTGGCCCTGGCAACTTTGGCGCCGGTCCTGGTTTGGACGGGGGATTCTTACAAGCTGGGTCGTTTGAATCATGGTCTCTTGGAGAAACGAGCATATCCGTATGCATAGACGTCTCCCTGCCACGTATGGAGAGCGATTCACAGGCCTCAGTGCCGGAACGTGCATCGCTGGGAACTTTTGTCGTGATGGTGCGTAGTCTGCCAGCGCAATGCCCTTGTCCGTTACTCGACTTGTGTTGTTTACAAGGCCTACATTTTATTTTTTTTCATTGAGCTTTCGCCTTTATGGGGTTACTCGAGGAAGGGATGAAATCGTCTAGAAAACAGTGCGACAACAGACTCGAGGAATTTGGTAGACGGAGAATGCAATGCCCACATACACGACGTTGGTGTTGTGCGCTGCTTGGCGTTTTCCCAATCAGGTAACTTCTGGAAAACCGTCGATTACCTCCCACGGGTGTCTACAAAGTTACCACAGACCCCGGCCGTCACTGTTATCGATAACGCTAGCGTCATCTGAACCTTTCGGCGGACGAGACATGCACGTAACATAGCAAGTCATGGCTGGCTGCTATTTCGTAATTCTTCGACCTTTGAGATCCTGCAAACATACCCATTAGATGCGGTAAAACTATTACCGCTTCTTGCACTTGCTACCTGCAGAAAGCGCTCGCTCATGCTTACGCTCCATCGACTGCGATGCCTTCCACACTCCACTTCGTTTCAAGCGCGCGCTCTACGAACGCTCCCTCGAGTAATACCAACATATGTCCCGCGATGGGATCCCACTCTACACAAATCTACGCGACCCGCTACGGCGGTGATTGAGTCAACGAAGACTGCCGAAAACCCTGTCTATGACCCCGACCGAAGTTTGGAGCGCGAGCAGCTCAGAGATGCACACATATCCATTGTCACGCCTGGGCTCAGTGCTCCTGGAAAGCGTCTAGCTGTCAAGAGACTGGACCGAGTATTGGAGTTGGTCAACAGCACCAATGGCCGCGACGCCAGTCTACGCGCGCCCCTCTGGCGGGCGTACTCTTTGGCCAAGGCCTCTGACCCAACACTCTTAGCACGTCTTCCAGAAAGAGCCTGGGACCTGCTCTGGATTACGCAATCCATCGAATCATCCACCAATGCGAATCGCACGGCACACATTGCACAACTCTACCGTGACATGGACAAGGCTGGAAGGACTACAACGGCCGGACAGCGGGCCAGAGATCTAGAGAGCACCTTTCTCTCTGGTAGAGAAGACCAAGCTCTTAGAGAATGGGAAGAGGATCACACTTTGGGATTCGACGGCATACGACAGGATTACAAGCCAGAGCATCTCGAGGTCGGGGCTAAGCTCCATGCGCTTGCGGGGAATCTAGACTACAGCCGAAGCATCATGGAAGAGCTATTCAGGTTATACCCGAGTTGGGACACTTCCGTCATGATGGCCGTCTTCCGTGCTCACACGAGTTCCGAACTTCAAGAGCACCACGATCTGGCAAAACAGATCTATGTCTCAATGAAGGAGAAGAAGAGCGATGCGCGCTCGATCAAGGACTACGACGCTTGGCTTGTGGGCTTCTTGGAATCCCGAAACCTAGGCTACGCCAAACAGGTGTTCCGGGATATGGTCGGGGAGGGCTATCTGGCAACTAGCGGCACCGGGGAACGAGTTGAACAAGTTCTGAAGAGACTGCAAATGCTGTATCGACTCGGAACTGATATAGCGGCAATGACTAGTATCGCTTTCGATGCTATATCCGTGCTACCGCCTGCTTATCACGGCCATTTATTCGGTGACTGGATGAAAGCGGCCGTTGTTAGGAAGGCGCCGTTGGTGGCCGCTCAGGTCATGGAGATGATGCTCAAACGAGGCTACAAACCGCAAACGTTCCACTTCAACATGCTCCTCAAAGCGTTGATACGGACCAAAGAGAGTCCGAACGTCCTGAAAGCCGAAGACATTGGTTGGCGCATGATCGAAGCAGCTCGTACACTACCACAACAACATGATCTTCCTCGAGACACAACGGCGTGCATCATTGACAAAAGAACCGCGGATACTCATAACAAAAGTACCGATGTTGTCCAACGTGCTCCTCCTGCAAACGTCACAACATTTGCGCTTATCATGCAGCACCACGCTAAGAGTCTGCAATGGGAACACGTCGAATATCTGTCCCGTCAGCTCAAAGAAACGACACTTGAGCCCAATGCAACCATCATGAACGTTCTCATGGACAACAAATGCCGCCAAGGTGCCTACAGCGAAGCATGGACGATCTACAAGACTCTGACTGAACCGCAAGAAGGCGACGCAGGTGTTTTCCCCAATGGTGCAAGCATACGTTGTCTCTGGAAAACGCTCCGTCTCGCGCTTGGCGACCCTACAAATCGCGACAAACCAGGGCTGCCGACCCCTCGTGAGCTACTAGCAGAGATGATCAGCTGGTGGACGCTCAGTCGCAGCCGCTACGACGCCGACCGCTTTCGTATGGGCCTCGCAGGCGCAGATAGTGGAGCAATCACATCACTCATCATGCATTGCTTCAGCTACACTCAAGATCTAGCTGGCTCCCTGGTTGCTTTGCACGTCCTTCGCCATCACTTCGACATCTTTCCCACCAACGAAGCAGCGCAAATACTGCAAGGACAGATAGCCTGGGTAGACATGACACGCGAAACCGAAGCTGTGCGCAGTTCACACTTCCACAGTCGTTCCAACAAGAAGAACTCGGATCGCATAACCATGGTCTACAACATCTTACTCCAACGACGGTTGGCGAGAATGGATCTGAAGGAAAGCGAGTACGAGATGTTGACGGATGAGCAGATTGGTGATATGGGATTGAACCTCTTGAGCGAGTTTGTGAGAGTGGTCCTCAAGAGAAGCTATCCACCTGAGGTTGTGGAGGTGATGATCGATGCAGCGAGATGCGCAGTGGGTCTACCTGACCTGCCCACAGGGGACATGGATGCTTTTGAAGTGGCTTGAACGAACTTTATTGCAAAGTTGGAGGATGGTGGACGGAAACATCTACCATGCGTGCAAATATAATCAATACAATACAACAAATCCTTTCAACACTTTCATTTGTAATGGAAATACCAAAGCAAACCACAATCTATCCATAGCTCTAAAGTCCAGCTTCGCAAGATGTCGTTGTAGTGAATTGATCTCATTGGTCATGGCTGCAGGTAGCCGAAACATGGGTTTAATCGATCGAGCACTCCGCGGCGGCGATCGATGACGCTCCAAAGCTCAGATGTCCACAACGCGCCCAAACACGGTTAAAGGTAACGGCTGCTTATTTACGATGACGCCCACTGTCATGCTGAAGGCTGGGACGCGACCCTCAAAATTCTTTGGGTGCGCTTCCTCTTTGATACACGACCACAACCCATCCCTCGTACCACGGTGATCATGTCTTCACAGGGCGAGCGCGCACCGTTGCTGCAACAAAGATGGAGTGAGGAAGGCGAACCGCGCACAGTAGGTGTTCTTGCGCACGCGTTTTCTCTGCGTTTACTAACTCGTGACAGCATCTTCGCATCCAAGACCTTTCGAATGACGAAAACCCGCGAGAATGGGCGCGATGGCGCAAGATGGCCAACGTGGCTGTCATAGCCCTCATGTCCAGTACATACACTCCCGTCGCCTGTACATGAGTTATACTAACAGTCGTGGCAGTCCTCAGCCCTCTCGTGTCCTCCATGTTCACGCCCGGCATCGCGCAGATCGCCGAAGATCTCAAATGTAGCACGACGGCCGTTATTGGAACAACCACCGGCTTCGTAGTCATGCTCGGAATCGGTCCCTTGATCCTCGCGCCCCTCTCCGAGACGTTTGGACGGAGAAAGATATACCTCGTGTGCTTCTCCATCTTCACCCTGTTACAGATACCCGCCGCGCTCGCGCCGAACATCGCTTTCCTCATAACGGTACGGAGCATTGCTGGCTTCTTTGGTAGCGTTGGCATAGCGAACGGTGGCGGCACGATCAGTGACATGTTCTTACCAAGCGAAAGAGCTGGAGTGTTTGGCTGGTACCTGTTGGGCCCGCTGCTTGGACCTACCCTGGGACCGCTGTTTGGTGGTATCATCGTACAGCGATTGAACTGGCGCTGGGTCTTCTGGATCATGACCATTGTGTGCTTCGTCAACACCTTGGCGGGATACTTCTTCCTCCGGGAGACGTATGCGCCTGTCATACTGAATGCGAAGAAGGCGGAATTCGAGTCTCAGAGCAACGAGTGGGATGGCACGAAGTACTCGTACGAGGGCGAAGACACACGGCCGTTGAACGAGAAGCTCACGCAGGCTCTCAAGCGCCCTCCGAAGATCTTTGCGCAGCCCATCGTCGCGGTCATGGCTGTATACCAAGCGCTCATCTTCGGCACAACGTACAGCATCTACACGAACATGCAGCCCATCTACCAGGATGACTACGGCTTCTCCACTGAGCAGGTCGGATTGTTGTATCTAGGCCCTGGATCTGGGTTCCTGTTTGCAGTCTGGTTCCTCGTCCCACGCATCGACACCGTGTACAAGACGCTCACAGCGAAGAACCACGAGAAGGCGCGACCTGAATTCCGCCTCCCATTGGCAAACATCGGCTCCGTTTTCATCCCCATGTCGCTATTTTGGTTCGCTTGGGCAGTACAGAAGCACACGCACTGGTTTGCATCCATCTCCGCGACCTTCTTCTACGGCATCGGACAGGTCATGATCTTGAATAGCACGCAGAACTACTTCATCGACAGCTTTGAAAAGTACGCGGCTAGTGCCATCGCTGCTGGTACTGTATTCCGTAGTGTCGTGGGGGGTGTGATCCCGATCTTTGCGCCCATGCTGTTCGAGAAGCTGGGGTATGGTTGGGGTATTAGTACGTTTGCGTTTGTGAGCTTGCTGCTTGCGCCTGCTCCGATTTTGTTCTATATCTTCGGTGAGAGACTTAGGGAACGCTACCCGGTCGATTTGTAGAACGTTATTAAGTAGGTATCTTCTTTAAATTTATGGCGCAACTTCCCGTTCTTGGTCACTTCGAGAAGACTTTCTCTTTATCTCTGGCTTCCAAGTGGTGCTGGACAGACTCAGTCTGTCACCATATCTACTAATAGAGAGGCATGTGAAGTGTGATTACGTTTGTACAAAGCAGACTGTAAAGGCTATGTCGGCGTTTCGGGTCACGATCAGCCTCCCTCTATCATCACATCTACTAATGGAGTCCATGTGCATGGTGAGTGCGTTTGCATAAAGCGCGCCGCGAGGGCGATGTAGGCATCTCAGAATACGATCAGTCCATGACGCGTTACTCCACTTGTATTCCAAGGCAGTCACTGGCATTCACTGCGATCAAGTGGCGAACTTGGCAGTCGCTAGCGCTGGAGCGTTGCCTTGAGATATAAACCGGGCCCCTCCCACCTCTTCTCTGACCCTCGTGTAGTTTTCCCCTGGAAATTCTGGCTCTACACCAGAATGTACTCAGACACCGTTCGCATCGGGAAACTACCGCGGCAGTCGCTTTGCTACTTGTCTACGTTCCTTCCCGGTGGCATTGCTTGGACCAGCACAACTATGCAGTACCCGAAGGGCCTCGACGTCCCGCCGCGTCCAGCCCTTCAATACTTGAACGAGTACGCCCCCTGAACGCAAGAACCCGGCCCTCGCGCGTTCAAGTGGCTACTAAACGACGCCACTTAGACAACAAGTATGTCAGTGGTCACTCGTGTCTGTCAACAGCAAGTTCCCGCTCGTCGGAGGCCTAAAACCTTCGTTGGCACAGGCGGGCTGGTCTGCCTGTGCTATGAATGCGACCTTGCGCCCCGGAGCGCTCCTGTCGTTGTCAGTCTTGGGGAAAGCGGAGCTCACGGAGGTCTCCCCCGTGCCGCTGGCGGAAAACATCGTGCGGATGGCTTATGGCTGTCTACGATGCAAGCCCCATATCTGCTGTTGGACAGTGTGTCTGTACCACTCTTACATCGTATCTTTTTCATTGGGTTGATGTCTTTATGGCGTTGCTTGAGGAAGGAGCGCGAATGGATGTGGAGTGAGTGAACGTACCTCAGCAAATGCAAAGGTTTCGGTGAGCCATGACACTACAATAGCTCATTGGTTGTGTCTAACATATAAATATTACTGCAGCGTCCGCAGACACTTGATAGGTAACACTCGTTGCAGAAGACCATATATGGCTTCCAACCCCGCTTTCCACAGCCATTGAACTCACGGGATAGTGACATCCTGTGTTTCCACACCGTAAGATTTACGAAGTGAGATACCACCATGAGAGTAACAAGCTGCTTGGCATCCATCTCATGATCAAGCCAAAGTCTTAGTATCTTCGTCTCTTGCCGATGCGGGACTTCTATATAAATCCCCAATACAGCACCTGCATGCTTCAGATCGTTATTACTGTTCTTCCTAACATCAACTTGAACACTTCCCAAAAATGCATATCCTCCCATTCCTCACTACCTTTCTCACGGTCTCGGCCGCAACTATCGCGATCCCTGCCGAAACCCCCTCTGATGCTACCACTGCTCAGGCTTGTCCTGGCCGACGCATCAGCTGGGAGGGCGGAGGCTGTGAACGCAACTGGGGAAGAGACTGTCTGAATCGCTACTTAAATGCTGCAGGGGGTAAGCGATGCTGCCCTCGTTCGGTCGGTTGGTATCAAGATCGCGGAGGATGTGTGTGGGGCTGGGAGACTTGCCGGTGTACCTGCAATGCCTAGGCAGTGACGGTACGCCATTGGATTGGTATGAAATCATGGTGTCTGTTGTTTGAGCGTGGAGAAATGATTGCTAACGCCTCGTAGTTGAGATTATATTGGGGTTAGTGCGCTGTCTCGGGTTTTGGTACTTGGATAGCGGTTGCGTCGATTGGTAGGCGGTGTTTGTGCGGCTTTCGTCGTCTACATTACAAGTAGTACAAGTCTGTCACGAAAGTCCAATCGTTTGGAGGTATTCCGGTACGACGAAGAACTCGATACGATCAATGCGAAAAGTCGGTTTTGTTCGTGTAGGCTTCTTGACACTGGCCCGATGTCTTTTTTCCTGAACGCACGTCGTGACGCTCGGATTCAGTCGTGAGAAAGTCACACCTTGATAGTTACACGATCAGCATCATGAGGTCAGGTGTCTATTACCGCTGAAAAGAAAGGAAAGTGCAAGAGTTCGATGATGTTGCGATGGCTTCCTCATTCCGCAGCCGCAAGGGGTATGACGTCACCAGACTCAGGAAGATAGTCCGATCTAACCTTGAGAAGTTGTAGCTGCTAAGAGGCAAAGTTATAAATACGCATTTACATATCTCTGTTTTCTGGTCAACAAGCCTCGTGTGCATGCTACAGCATGTTGCTGCAGCCTGTTAAGGACGGCCATCGGGCTTGCCATTCGATCAGACCCCAGCGAACAACATCAAAGCCATCGCAATCATACCGTATACCAAAGCACAATCCGATGAACAGCCCGAACCAGTACCAGACAGCAGTCTGAGTCAAAGACGCACTCTATTCGTTCTGCTTGCCATTCGATCTCGACCCCCAACCCTCATGCTGACTGTCGCGATATTGCTCGGGGGAGAAGCGGCCCCCCAAACCCCCGGACGCGCGTTCTCACTCTTGGCCATACCTTTCAACATATCATCTCCCCAGGAGCGATGGTGTAGTTTCACGGCATCGCTGAGTTGTTGGAGCTGACAATCATCTGTGTAGCCTTGAAGGCATAGCCCAGTTCTAACCTGCGCGTCAATAACTTCCAAGGTCCCTACTGGCTATCGCCTTCGTCTCCTTCATCTTAGAGCCGACAGTGTACTTGCCAACGTTCCAGAAAATAGGTCTCCGGGGCCGCCTTAATATGGCTAAAACGTACCTGCATGGAAAATGGGCTGCGCCACTCGCACATCCCGGAGGCCCAGCTTGTTGCTCGATAACGAAGCGCGCAGCCCCCGCGTGTTAACGTTTGCACGACGTCGAACCTGAGAATATGGAAGGCTCCGCGCTCCATTGGTCAAAGATCTTACATGGCTATACGTCTTTGGTGCGGTCGGTTGACCTTACATGAACTGTGCCCAGGTGTCGATCAAGTCAAGCTTGGCAAGGCGAAGTCGAAGCGTACCGCATCGGGGCTTATTCCTATCCAACACAGCGGTACAGACCTGTTCTCTCAAGATACATTACTCCATGTCTTTCGCTCATAAAATCAGTAGAACTCCCTTATTCTTTGGAGAGACCAAAGCCACTCGATGACATCTTGCCTGAACAATTACCCTCATCAACATGCCTTCATTCACTTTACAACCCCATACGAAACACATTCTCCTGGCTTCTTCCATCGTTGTCGTTCCGATGATCACGTTCACCGTCGTGATCCTTGTGCTAGTCTTTCACAATCTAGCAAGTGATCTAGACTGTCCCTATAGCGAGATATGCCCACAGTCTCCGCTGATCAATGTCACCAAGGCGTCTCACTACTACGTCGACTATCCGGCTACTCGCCTCGTATTTGTATCTTCTTGGTCATCCACCGTTAGCTTCGCTCTCGTGAGCGCCCTTATGTCGATTTACGCCTATTGCGCCGCACGCCGGCTTACGGAAGCTTCCGTGTCGCAGGACCAGAGCAGATGCCTTCCTACATCTTATGAGACTAGCCTTGTAGTCCGACTTCTGAATGCGGATTACCTGTCTCTGTGGGAACTATCCCGGCCATGGCGACGGTGGTCCTTTCGGCGCGGCACGAAAAGCGAATCATCCAGGCGAGCTACGAAACCAACGGTACTACGAGCATCAATATTCGTTCTATGTCTAGCTGTGCTCGCGAGGTACGCATGTGATTCATTAGACTCGAGTCCGTACTAAGATTCCCAGTGTTCTTGTGCATGCGGCAGACGGCTATCTCCATATAGCGACCGAAGCAATAGAGTTAGTTCAGGTCTTCCCTCAAGATCCTGCTCAGCATCAGTACGGCAGGAGCATTGACCCATGGTGCTTTGATGACAGCGAAACCATCGGTACCATGCAGAACAAAAACTTCTTTGGTTGCAGTATGACCCTATACCCACCCGACGAGAGTAGGCTGATACTTACAAACAACACCGAATTTCTCGCGTTGGTAGACGATGGCTACGGGAAAGGCATCATGAACTTTACTGATGAGACTACTGGGCGCCAATATGCGGTTGTTGGTCCAACGATATCGCCCTCCGAAACAGACTGGCAGGCGACATCCTACGCCATATCGTCCCAGTGTGCGTCTATGCCTGCTACCGCCTGCGATATACAGGTGAACTCGTTCGTACGGGATGGCCTTGGAATTCCATTAGTACCCTTCGACTGCTCCATCGCTCGCGGCTCGCCGATAGATTTCTCAGGGAGCTACGTAGGCGAATCAATCTTGTACAACTTTTTTGATTTCCACAAGCACTTAAAGGAACTCGGCAAGCCATTTGGTAGGATGGAAGGATTAGACTTTTACCCTGAAAACGAGGCCAGATCCATTATACCAAACATAACAAAACAGGAGAGTGCTCAGATGTTCCCAAGCACGTGGAGATGGACCGCAGCCGTTGGTCTGGATTTAGACGTCGATCTGGACGGCTTACCAAGAGACATGATTGGCAAGGCCTGGCTGATGGAGCCCGCGTATCCGAATTACGTAATGGTTGTTGCATGTAACACAACAGGTGAGTAACCGCTACCGAAGAATGGTGCACAGTCGTTGTTCTTCACCTAATAGGTCTTTCCAGTCTACGATGTCACATATAGTGCTACTGGTGGTACAATCAAAAGGTTGGAAGCACATGAGAGTAAATCTACTGTGGCGGGCATCTCAATCCTCCCCTCCGTCGACGGCATGGGAAACCTGGCGGACTTAAAATTCAGCGTTTTGCGGCAAGTCAATCCTCCAGTATCCTTGGGAAAGTGGATCTCAGACTTGGAACTTGGAATGAGCACCCTTTTCGCCCATCCTCTACGCGTGCATACGGTGCCGGCAGACAGTATTATAGTGCAGACAAGAGCCAGAAAGATTATGACTAGAGCGCCTGTCGCTGCTGTCTGGCTGCTGATTCTAGCAAATCTGTTCTTCGCAGCTCTCGGAATTGTACTTGCCGTTATGGCCTGGAGGACAGCCGACCAAGACATCTACCAAGTCAGGACGCGGCTTGGTGTTCCCGGATTAGCGGCTGCTCTCTTCGAGAGGAACTCCGAGAACCGCATCGTCAAGTCTGACAAGGAGTTGTTCCAAGAGAATGACAAGGACGGACTACCGCTGGTTCTCGTTGGAGTTCAGCATACCGTTACTGGAGGCATGGCGTGGTCACTTCGCGACAACCAAACTGGCCGTCCATGTTTGGCGGACGGAGCGAAGATATCGACTGCTCACATCAGCGATACCACGCACTCGACTTCAGAAGAGAATAATAGCACTGAGGAGGTCGTCCGCAAATCCGACAGCTACGGTAATGAGGCTGCGGAACATCAGCCAATCTCCGTCGTACCTTCAGAGCCTGTAACTCAATCTGACGCTGTCAGCCCGATGCAACAATCTACTCACTGGGTGTAAAGATAGATACCTACAGCCGTGGCCTCCCAGATCCATGCGAGGAGCATACGCGTGTATGGTGGAGAGGGAAGGCGAGCCTTTGGCTGTGGTCTGACACGGAGGCTCTGCGAATGCTTTTATCGGTACTGAGGTTATGGAGGATGCTATTTCTCCCATTTGTTTCCAGATAATGCGATAGAAAGACGACTGGGATCTTCAAATTATTATCACTAGATTCATGCCGATGCACTCAATTCGAGATTGAAAGACGGAACCGATGATGTTGCGTCGGTTTCCCCATTCCGCGACGGGAATGACGTCACCGAACTCTGCAGGACAGCCCGAACCGACCCTACCACCAATTCCTATTATTGCATCAACATCAACCTCCAATGAGACTAGAGAATTTTTCGGCTACCTTTACTGGTCTTTTAAGGCCTCATATGCAGAGATATACTACAACTTCGCGTCAGCTGTCTATCGACAGTCTGCCTGTTCGCAACTAGCGACGCAGCTCTAGAAAACAATGACAACGTACTTCTCCCGGGGATTCGTTTCGTTTTCGATAACCTCCATACATATACTGCTCGCTACTAGCTCGCCCCTCTCCACAAACGCTTCGACAAACGACTCAAGGCGTTCTTCCTCCACGTTCCCGCGAATTGAATCTTTACAGACGTGGAAGATCCCAATCCGGCAAAAGCTACCAGCAAGATCGCTCTGCTTCCTCAACACAAGCCCTGAGATGGCCACTTCAGATTGCCATATCTTCTTCGTCTCGTTCCAGGACGAACCCGCGGTTTCTCCACCAATGAGTGGAAGTAGGTAGACCGTGCCACTATCTTTCTCCTCCTTGTCGTTTATACAGTCTGGTGTGATCGGATAAACGTCGTCTGCAGCCGAGCCTGGGTCGAGCCTGACGGTATTATTATGAGAAAGAGTTGCAGCCAGCATGCCAGAGCACGCAAAGCTCATGTACCCACTACGGACTTCACCGAATGGATCCTGACCTAGTAGCTCCATGTCAACGTCTAAGACGTGAGTGTAGGTATCTAGCATCAAGTTCATATGCTTCAGCCTACACATATACGATATCTTGCCGTCAATAGACATCCAGGACCAGCTGGGAGCGCGCCAGGCTGGTCGCAGCCGCGGACTTACAACGCTCCAGCAGAGCTGCGCTTCGATGTCTTCGTCTCGCCACATACCTCCGATGTACTGCCCCCCGCTTTCTTTGCAGCTGCGTCGTGCGACCCCTGAAAGCGCGGGGAGCTTGTCGTGACTATACGTTAGTTTGGCGGCCGAATAGAGTTCGACAACATTGCTCCACCAGTAGATAAAGTCATACCCTTTGCGGCCACTGTTTAGACCGCTGATCAACCGACTGCCAAAACCTCCGGGTAGGAACTCATTTGCAATTTCTTTCCTGCATTCCCAGAAGGCGCCGCGGTTGCCAAAATGAATAGTTCGCGGGGGAAGAATCTTTTCCTGCAGCGCCCATGCGCGGGTTGCGAGGTAGGAATGTGTGGTTGCGAGTGAGTATACGGAGGAGGAGTGGAAGTCACGAACGAGCGTGCTTCCTGCAGTGCAGATTTGTGCACGGAGGCCATCTACCAGGTAAGGTCGCTTTAGAAAACAGCCTCCATGAGCATTGATGGCGGAGGCGGCGGCAATGTTGATGGAAGAGTTGCCATAGACGGAACTCATTAATGCTGCTTCTCTTCGCCAGTCTTCGGTATTGCCCTGTATGATACAAAGCGAGTCAATCCAAAGGTATCCTATTCCAAGTTGCTTACTGATGTGGACAGCGTCTTTGAACGTTTTGGGAAGCTCTTGATCGGGTATGACTGTGTGGAAGGCTTCGTAATTCTCTTTGGTGAGTTTCAAAAAGGTCTCGTTACCCCAGCAATGGCTGAGAGTGCTATAACGAGGCTTAGTCTGCCAGCCTGCAGTGGTAACCAGCTTCAGCTCGTCGCCAGCGACGGACATGAGCCTGGTAGGCAAAGTGTTCCCCTGATCCTTGTTGCAGGTCTCGTGACCGTTTGTACAGTTATCCAACCAATCCTTCGCAATATCAAGGACGTCCTTCTCCCTATGGTAAGTATCTTCTGCGCCGCGTCAGTGCTACTGATACAAGAGACTGTGGAAAACACATACCAGTGGACTCGAAGGCCCCGCTGAAGAAGCTCATCTCCCGCCCTACACCCTCATTGCAACCTTGACACACCTTTCCTGGATAATTCACCCACAAAAGCTGCGCCTTGTTCTCGCCCCAGTTCTGCACTGACAGCGACGCCTTCTCCTTTCCTTTCTCTTCTCCCTTATCACCAAGCCACACCATCCGCGCCTCCACCTTGCGAAATATGTCCCACAACCCCGCATCCCGTATCATCTGCATTAAGAAAGCACAAAATCTACACCCCTTTCGTGCCGCCGCTTGGAGGAGTAGAGTATGACACTCCCGCGCAACAGCATGTTTCCAATCAGCGCCCGAACCGGGCCAGTTGCGTTGTGTGGATGGGTCGACGGCTGTTGGGTCGCCGAGGTCGGGCCAGTGAGACAGTAAGAACGAACAGTCGCTACAGAACCTGCCCGAGACAGTGATGTTTGTAATGAGCGACAGGATGCCTTGTTCAATGGCGTTTTGATCGAGGGAGTCATCTTGCACAGCTTGGATGACGGTATGCTGTGCATTGAGTGTATTTGCGGGGACGGCTTTGTATTCTTCGTACCATGCGTTAAGCTCCTGGGAATCCAGCGCTGGGGTCTTCTGGAAGCAGGATTGGATCAGGACGTGCTGGTTTGCCTCGAGCTCGCTTTGGGAAGAGACCTGATTTTGCTCCATTCTCAAAGGTACATTTTAGTACTATAGAGCGAAGAACTTTCAACTTTTGTATTGGAGAATACAAGTCTGATTATCTTGAATACAGTGCAGTTACATCAACGCTCGTTGTTGCCTGTGGTTGGATCTGTGATGACGAGGCTGAGTCTGACGTACCTAGGTATTCGTCTAGGCAGCGTGTTGATGACACGTTTTCGCAGCGTTAAGTTTCGCGAATTGCTGCAGGTAGTTCAAAAGGCACTAGGTGATGAGCCGAACCGCGAGTCAAAGTTGAGGACCAGAAGACCGATGGAGGGCCTAAGTTGACAAGTAGGGCGAGATAGCGGGGTTAAGTTATACCGAACTCGAAGATGGTGTTAAGAGAGTAAGCAGAAGAAACTGAAGTCTGTACCTCCCGGGAATAACAGCATTGTCGAGTCTTAAGAACTAGCTTTAGCAGTTTTACACAAATAAAGAGTAAATTATTTGCAAGAGCTGTATGAATAAGACTTATAGAGCGAAAAGACTAAACTAATCTGCTAAAGAGAAGCTACCTGCTATAGACGTCGACAGAATCGATGCGCTCACGTCTTAAAAACGCGCTAATGAAGACAGTAAAATCTAGATTCCAAGCGCGTTCTAGCGCTTGTGTTAGAAGCTAAATTCAAAGCGTAAGAATGCTGTAGCCTGTAGTGTTAGAGTAGCACAGGCTGCGCAGTACTATGGTAGCTACAACTCTGATTCTGTGTTACACTAGAGTTACTTAGCTAAGCTAGGTACACCAAAATACCCGGCGGGCCTGGGTGATTTGGCTCGATATTGGCGCCACCTTCTGGACCCTTGTATTCTTTCTCGCAAACGCCATACCACTCTTCCATGCCATCCTATCGGTATCAGCCGCACTCTTCGTCTCCTGGTTTACCTTTGGGATATTGGGAGTGATGTGGCTGTATCTCAACTGGGACGTTCAGTTCCACGATTGGAAGAAGACGTGTTTGGCCAGTCTGAACTGGACGATCATCGCCTTGACTTTGTTTGCGAACGGTGTCAGTCTGTGGGCTTCAATTGAGCAGCTCGTAGCTGCGTACCATGATCCTCTCGTTCCTGTCGAAGGCTCGTTCACATGTGCTGATAATAGCGTTTGGGGGTAGCTAGGTATCCGGCTTTGGTTCTTGAGCGTTCGTTTATAATTCAGTTCACGTCCGAGGAATACCAGAAGTAGAAGAAACGGGCCCCTGGTGTTCAACGCTACGGCTCTGTCTTATGTTCAATTTCAGTGTATACATTACGAGGACCATACTGTATCAAGGACTCCAGAGCTGCTCGTTATTTACATGACGCCTTTACATATTACTCGGACAGGCGCAATGTCTTCTCGTACTCGATACAGAAAGTCTTCCTGGTCTTGCCGAATTTCCTCATCCGTTCTTAGTTCAGTTGAATCATGACCTATCGTCGTCCACCAGATACCGATAGTCACCCTTGCCGGTAGAAACCTTGCTTCTTTCAGAGCGTCCTTGATATCAGTCGCGTACATCAATCCACGCTCTCTTCTCAGATCAGCTCTCGACGTAGACGGCGGTGGTATATTGCAATGCATGCGATCAGTCAGACGCACTGCCTCCAGACTGTCAATACCCAGATCGAGTTCTTCCAATGCTGGGAAGCGTGCCAGAAGGGCAAAAACACGCTGCATCTCATCCAGAAGCTCCAGGATGAAAGCTTTGTGAACGGCGAAGAGCTCAATCATATTGTCTGGATCCATCATTACGCGATCGATACTGAAGCTAGGAATAGTGATGTATTTGACCAGCTTCCTGTTCTCCACTCCGATTTGGCGATAGAATTCTCGAGCCACCCAGCGTATGGAATCTGAGCCGTTGTGGAGGAAGAAGTTGAAACGGCTGAAGCAGTAGTTGAGAAGCTCGTCGTGGAAGATGCGGCTGACGAATACAAGGCCTTGAATGCTTTCGAGACCTTGCAGTCTATAGCCAGTGTGTCGCTGTCGGACGCTTATATTGATCGTTCTACTCTGGAAACTTTGCGCGAGAAGATAGTGGTATATCTGCTGGCGGATTTCGAGTGGTAGCCTGAGGAAGCCCGGGGTGGTGGTTGCCATTGTTGATGACGCTGACGACGTTGATGAAGTTGTCGATGCTCGGATATTCGCATGCAGTGTCGATAGCGGTGGCTGCGCGATTAACTGCCTCTGGAATATCTACGGAATATACACGCGGAGGAGATGGTTGATGAGACAGATGCCTATTCGTGGAAAGTCTGGTTCAGATGCAGAGAGATCTCAACGCATGCGCATCAGAAGGCGCCTAGGTCTGTGCTCATGCGGCACAGCAACCCCGCAAACGGTCTACTAACTGTCTTCTTGTGAACAATGCTGTTGGTAACATACCTGGGTATCGCGACATGCCTGCTCTTCCATGTCTAACTACGACAGTGGGATTCCCACCGCCTGATCTCCGGCATTGTCGCAGGATCCATGCCTGGCATGTGACGTCTAAATTGCGTCCCACCGAGAAGATTAGCAACCTCCACCGACCCACAGCATGAGCGATTTCACGGCTGGGAACATTGTGCACATACCAAAGCTTGTTTGAACAGGATATTGCTATTTGTTTGCAAATAGATTAAACACTAAAAACTACCTCCAAGCCACCTTCGCTATCGACTTGCAGTAAACATAGTATGGTCAGAATGAAGACAGATGCAAGACGTGAACGCATAACGTAGCTAAACGTGATTGACAAAAGAGCTACGGGCTACATCATAGGGACTCTACAAAGAGACATCGATGGAGATGTTAAGTCCGTCGAGGAGGGCGTCGACGCAGCCAAAGTTCTGCTCAACGTTGAGGTCACCAGGCGCCTTCCAGCCGTCGTTGGCGAAGGAGAAAACGCAGGACTCGGGACCGACGCTCTCGAGAATCTTCTTCATGGCAGTCTTCTGCTCCTGGACACCGGCAACAGCCTTGCCGTTGGAGGTACCAGCGCTGGGCCAGCCGATCTCAGTGATGAACTTGCCCTTGGCGGCGGCCTCGGGGCAGACCTTGGCGGCTTGCTCGAGCTGCTGAGCGGCGAAGTCACCAGCCATGTCAGCGGTGACGGACTGGGTGAAGTAGGGGTGGATCTGGACGGTGAAGATGTCGATGTGGGAGCAAAGAGCATCACCAATCGTCTCCCACGAGCCAACAGTCTCGGTGGTGGTGATGGCAATGTCAGAGGGGAAGCCGGCGCCACGGAGCTCATCACGGACGTAGTCGAGGTAGGAACCAAGCTCGCTGACCTCGCAGTTACCGTTGAAGACGCACTCGTTTCCAACAATGACCATGGCGACAGAGTCCTTCGGGGCGTTCTCCTTGATGTCGTTCAACTGGTCGTTGGCGTAGCTAGAGAAGGGACCCTTTCCGGCCTTGCCACCGGCCTCGAGGAAGATGCCGTAGATAACCTTGAGTCCGTACTTGGTGCACTCAGGAACAACGTGCTCGAAGACACCGCAGTCAGTGCTGTATGAGCGGATGGTGGTGAAACCGAGCTCAGAGATCTTCTTGATGTCGGCAGCAATCTCGTCGGCGGTCCTGCAGTTACCGTCGTTGGCGTAGGGAGTGTAGGTAATGGCCCACTTGTCGCCGTTGGTCTTGATGTGCTCACCGTTGTTGTAGCTGCCGGTGGGCTTGGGCTTGTCAGAGCCGTGGGTGGCGCTGGGAGTGGGCTTGGGCTTCTCAGCCTCCTTGGAGGAAGCAGGGACCTCGGGGGTGTAGGCAGGCTTGGACGCCTCGGGAACCTCAGGAACAGCAGGCTTGGAGACCTCAGGAACGGTGGGGTAAGCTGGCTTGGAAGGAGCGGGGACCTCAGGAACCGCGGGCTTGGTTGTCTCGGGAACCTCAGGGACAGCGGGCTTAGTGACCTCAGGAACAGAGGGGTAAGCGGGCTTGGAGTTCTCTGGGACCGGGGCAGGGCCAGTGGGCTTTCCCTCCTCCTCAGTGCAGGTGGTGGAGGTCTCCGGAACAGCGGGGACGGCTGGGGTGGAGTGCTCTGGGACGGGAGCCGGGCCAGTGGGCTTGGGGGCCTCGATGGAGGAGGTCATGCCCTCCTCCTCAGTGCAGGTGGTGGAAGACTCCGGGACAGCGGGAACAGCTGGCTTGGAGGACTCAGGAACTGCGGGGTACGCAGGTGTAGAGGACATGGGCACCTCAGGGACTGCGGGCTTGCTGGACTTGGGCATCGCAGGCATGCTGGACTCGGGAACCGCAGGGTAACCGGGCATGGAAGATCCGGGTACTACGGGAGCCGGGCTGGAGGGAGCCGGAACGACGGGAGTGTACATGGAAGTCTTTCCCTCCTCAGTGCAGGAGGTGGAGGCGGTCTCCGCATGCACGGAAGTTGGGACGGCGGGCATGGTGGAGTTGGGAGCCATGGAGGGCACTGGGTCATGTTAGTCGCTGTAAGATACTGGCCCTTACTGTTCTTCTTCGTTCACGGCTCCTTCTAACATGGGTTTCACATACTTGCGGTTTCGTAGACGGTGGTGTAGACCGTGCAAACCTCCTCGGGAGCGTAAGCTCCACGGCGCATGTGGAATCCAGCATGAGCCTTGTGCTGCGCGGCAACAGCAGACCCAACGAGGGCAGCTGCAACGTAAGAGTAACGCATCTTGAACTTGTTTACGTGGTTTGGGGTGGCTAGGGGTAATGGTGATCGTCCGCTGAGCGAGTGAAGCGGGTAATATTAAGTAAAGTGTGTAATGAGTGACGGGGCACAAAGGCCAAGGGTGCTTGTCAACGAGGCTGGTGATGCGTAACTTGAAAGCCTTGCGTAGTGAGAAAAAGAAGGAAACCTTGGGGAACACAGCGGTTTTGACCTATGTGCCATGGCCTGTGAGCACCAGTTGGTGGAGAACTGCCTCTAAGGCGTTAGGTTAGGGGTCCTGGAAATTGGCGTGATCATTGTTGTACAAGAACGGCATGGGCGCCATCCTACGGCTCTATTGAGATCGTGATGTGCTCCGAGCGGAAATGAGTCTGGGGTATAATTGTCGTGTTAGGTCGAGAGTGGGTCCAGTCTAGGTCGGGATGGGGCTAGCCTACTTTCACCCTGAGCAACCCTCCCGTGCAGGAGAGAGCGTCACGGCAACAAACACCACACCAAGTCTTTGCGCCAACTCCGCCGGGGAACGAGTGAACTCTATCGCAGCATAGCCACTTGTTGCATTTCTCTTAGCTGCTATGTGCCCGATAACCGTTTTGGTAAGACCCTCCTCGTGTCGCTAATTAGGACCCATCGGATGGTTCCATCCTCATCAAATCCACGGCAACGCGCATATCAGCAATCACAAGTAGCAATCGCGAACGGCTAATCTTTGTGCAGCTCGTAGTAGAGCAAGGGCACAGCTTACGCCACCATGCAGGTACAGAACGACTTGTGCAGGGTTCTACCTACCGGGCGTTCTTTAATTGGCCGAAAGCCCCATCGAAGGGTTGGGGTGGAAGTTCAGGCGGTGATGGATGTTGGTGCGTGCCCCTTTCTTCTCACGACTCAAGACCGGCCGGCGCGTTATTACCGCACCCACCGCTATTGATGGACATCACTAAACTCTCCGCTTGACGATGCCGCGTTCTTCGGCAGACAGACACCCGCGACCTGCTAAACATAGATGTGGGCAAGTGGGTTTTTTCGTGCGCCTGAATACGGTGTGTATGTTAACTTTGCGAGCGGCGATCCATCGCAATTACAATGGCGCGTATTCAGTTGTACCAAGCGCTGAGCCTTGGGTACCTAGTCGGCATTGGCTACATAAATCGGTGCCGAGCGATCGAACAAGAGGTCAGGCGACCACTCTGTACCCGCGCTGACAGAGCCTTCTGTCCCATAGCTACAGGCAGTCGTTCGCCAGTTACCCACTGTTCAAGCTACAATATGTAGCGTGCAAGTTCCAGCATTTGTCGCATCGTTGGTATTCCTACGGCTTCCACCGGTCCTCAACTTACAGCCCAAGGATGGTCACATTATACACTTAACGATTTGCATACAACTTAAACAATGTAGTGAGTCGAGTATGTATTGTTATGCCACGAAATACCGCAATGTAGATCCAATTCCTCCAGGGCTGCTTCGAGAACATCACTACGACCCAGTCTTTTGATCCACCCCAGAGTCTGGACTTCCACCTCCCTACTTCGCAACGACCTCATCCTGCCTGTAGTACTTCGATCTGATCATATCGGCAAAATGCTTAGCTCCATGTCGACTGAAATGCCCCTCTTTCCCCTTTACCGTTTTGACTGCCGCCTTTGTGGACCGTGGGAACATTTCCTCCTCGTAGTCCTTCACAGCAGCATCCAGACACTTCTCTCCACGGCACACTTTGACAATCTCCTTCCCCAATACCAATGCGTCTTTCATGCCCGTGTTGACTCCCAGTCCAGCAAACGGTGTGAAGACATGCGCAGCGTCGCCGATAAGGGTAACGCCTGGGCGAGATGGCCAGCGGAATCCAACCGGCAGCTCGTACAGATTGCGAGGAATGAGACTGTCTTCGTCAGAGGACATGATGACACGCTTAAGGTCATCGTGGATATGAGAGAGGTAGCGGTCGACAAAAGTGTTGCGCGCCGTCGCTTTATTGTCCCAATCGATGCCACAGGTCTGCAGGAAATCCTCTGGTGCATGCACGCTGGCGTACGTCCCTAGGCTACCGTCACCTTGCCGTTGGGACTGCACCGCGCAACCCTCCCCAAAAGCGAACATCGAGCCCGAGCCGACGTAGTCAAGCAGCCAGGGATCAGCCTTGATGTCTTTGCACGACACTGCGATAGAAGCTATACCTGAGTACTGTGGCATTTGGTCGGTGAGAAGTTTGCGAACCTTGGACCACGCGCCATCTCCCCCAACCACAAGATCGAATCCAGAGTCTTTCGTGCCGTCTGAGAAGTGCAGGTCGTACTTTCCCTCTCCTTCAGCAGAGGGTACGACTTCTTTCAACTTCTTTTCGAATTGTACGGACCCCTCCTTCAGGTTCTCGAACATCAGTGTCGCCAACGCCATTCGATCGATCTCAGGTCTTCCCTCAAACTTCTCATCTTCTTTGATGTCTTGCTTGTCAGCGCCA